CATGATTGTACTGTAGGTCCCGGGAAATTCACTTACAGATAAGTCCTTAGGGAGATAAACTAGAGCACCATAAAAATAGCCCAATACTCTAGCCCTCTTAAGCCATGTTAATTAAAAGCATATTTTTTATGTTTATTGCATATACCATTAGTCAAGTTACAAGATTATGGTTATTTAATTTGTGCACTAGCAAAATACTAACCAAATGCAATTACCCATAGGTGACAAGGAACCAAGATATCAAATACTAGAAAATTCCTACGGGTATCAAGGTAGACACATGTATATGGTTAAAATGATTAATAGTGAATAGGACAACAAAGATGATCACATGCTATACTTGCCTTATGAAAAAGCGAGTAAAAAGGTTTTAAATATATTCTACACATTGCTACGGACACACAGGCACGATAATCACGCTAATCGAAGCTACGGTTTAATTAATACAAATGCTCAAGGTACGAAGTTTGAACGATTGGAAGGAGATTTTCATGTAAAAGATACTAATATATGTACGCCATTTAAATTAATATTTTATTTGATCATTTGTTTTCATATTGTTAGAACGGCATAGAAATATTATATTAATAATAATTTCTAATCCTTTGCAACAATATAAATTTAAATAAATATGAAAACAATATTAACTTTGGAGCTATACATACTCAGTCTAGAATTTATTATACACCAAAAGAACATGGATATCAATGAGCTCTGAGAAACATATGATGAATGGATAAAGAAGATAACTCGCATTGATCTAGAAGAGACGGAGTAGAATTTTGAATAAAGAAATAGCTGATGCATGATTAAGTATATGTAGATAAGGCATGTAGACGTATATCATACATGCAAAAGCAGCATGCAGCAGAGTCGTCAATGCAGAGAGGAACGCATGGAGATATACTTGGCCATATGGCCCGAGGCCCGTTGGCCCGGCCCAGGCACGGCACGGCCCGGTGGGTGGCTGGCCCGGCCCGACCCTTGGGCCGTGCCTGGGCCTCACTTTCAACACGGCGTGTCGGCCCGGCCTGACACAGCGGTCAGCACGAGGGGCCCGACCTGGCCCGTTTGGCAACCGGCGAATATAACGCGCCCCTCTCCCCGGCTCTCTCAATCCCAAACCCTAATCCTCATTTCCAAAGACTCCGTCGGCCGCCACCTCGCTCGCTCGCCTAGCGCCAGAGCAGAGAAAGGGAGCACCGCTGCCGCTCGCCTCCAACCATCACCGGGCGCCGGTGAGCTTCTCTTGGCTCGTTTGAGGTTGCTTCCTTGCCGGATCTACGACTGCAGCCATCGAAGGCGCATCGACGACTCCTCTCGCTTGTCTGCTCCGCGCATCCTTCCTGCTTCCTCCGTCTTCGTCTTCATCTCCGGTCACCGCTTGCCGGATCCGGTCCCGTTTTGGCCATCTATAGCCTCTTCTCTCCCCTCTGGCCATCTCTTCCCCGGCTCGCTCCCTCCACCGTCCTTCTCTTCGTCAGATCCGTCCCCCAAAACATAGTCTCTCCATCCTCTTCTCGTAGATCTGTGGATCTCGGTCTTCAACGGCAACTTCGGTGCTCCGGTTGAGCAGGTAAGCCACACTCATAACCCTAACCCTAACTTTGTGTAGCTTGTTCTACCTTCTATCGTTTTGCAGGCCACAGGCTTCTTGCTCAGCTGTGGTAGCTGCCGTTGAGGGACCGGAGTGCCCGCGATGTTACTTGTGATCTGTGAAAGATGTTTACTTGTTGAAAGATAACCGAGAACTTGTTGAAAGATGTAACTGAGAACTTGTTGAAACCTATTTACTCGTAATCTGTGAAAAAATCTGAGCTGAACATGTTTTTTGAGCCTGGGGGTGTCGGGCCTTGGGCTGGCACGGGCACACTGGGCCAGTCGGGCCATCGGGCCGGCACGGCACGGCACGAGGCCTTTAGGGCCGTGCTTGGGCCGTTAGTGCTGCCCGTGGGCCGGCACGGCACGGCCCGATGCACCTGACGGGTCGTGCCGGCCCGATGAACTTCGCATAGTTGGGGACGGCCATGAACTTCGCGTAGCATGGACATCCCAGGATGGCGTGGTTGGTTCCATGGAACCTGACCACCTCGAAGGTAAGGGTCTCCATCCTATAATTGGACGGATCCTCGAAGGTGATGGGCAGATTGATCTGCCCAAGTGGCATGGCCTGCTTTCTAGGCACGATGCCATGGAAAGGCGCCCTGGTCGGCCGGACACGCACTCGGTCGATGCCCGTGGCGTCGAGCATTTCAGCGTACATAATGTTGAGGCCGCTGCCTCCATCCATCAGTACCTTGGTGAGCCGCTTTGTGTCGATGATCGGGTCGACCACGAGCGGATATCATCCTGGCTGTGGGACGCTTTCTGGGTGGTCGGTCCGATCAAAGGTTATGGCGGACTCCGACCATTGGAGGAAGGAAATTGTTTCTGGCTCGGCCATATAGACCTCGCGATGCGCAAGCTTGCAGATGGCCAAGGCGACAGACTTGGCACTTGCAGATGGCTGCAGCCGAGTCTCTCCCATCAAAACAATGATGGCTTCAGAAGACGACGAGTCGACGAGCACCGGCGACCAGGGAAGATGTGTACGTAAGCATGGAGCCAACAGAGACAACGCTATGTACGTCGGGTATGGCGACTCGGATCTTCCTACAAAGCTAGACGCGAGGAGCGGCAAAAGATTCTCCACGACAGCGAGGCAGCATCGGACAGCAACAGCGGCGGCGGCTTAGTTAGTTCATCGACAAGGTCCAAAAGCGGCGGCGCGAGCTGGCTAGGGCAAGGGATGGCTGCTCAGATGTAAAGGGGCGACACGGAAGAGATTGGGACGACGGTTCGGCATGCGGATACGCAAAATCCCGAAGAAATTGGGACGGCGGAAGTTCTGCTGGCAGAGTCCGGGTCGGACTGGAGCTAGGAGAAAGAGAGGTCACTGGCGAGTGGGGTCAGGTTGCCAGCGACAGAGAGCGCGAGAGAGCACGCGGGAAGGGTGTCGCTTGCTGCTCTGGGCCTATGGGATGAGATGCCAAGCTAGGCTCCAAGAAACAGTCTGCGGGGTGTAGGGGGCCAAGCCTTCCGGCCAGAATGAGAGAGGGAGAGAGGTTTTTTCCTGAAACTAGTTTTCAAAACCATTTCAAAGGGTTTTTCAAATCAGTTTGAGCTTTGAATCAAAACCGCTCAGCACATAAACTCAAATGCACCAGCATGTATGCAACAACATGTTCCTATCCTTATGATTGATTTTATAAATTCGTCAAAAATTTTAATATCCCTATGTTTCAATGAACACAAAAAGCATAATAAAATCAAAATTAAACTACTTTTAGAAATCGAAATTTTAGGGTGTTATAGTTTGCCAGTTTTATTATGACAACTACACGATTGCCACCGAAAAAGGGTAACTGACCTATATTTTTATCATTTTCGCTGACGTGGCACGCCAAATCAGCACACCAGCGTGGATCCTGGACTGTTCCGAATAGAGAGGCACGTGAAATGTCAGTTTTACCCCTGTCTCTCTGTATGCTGGTCACTGCCTGTGGATCCACCTGTCAGCACCTTCTTCCTCCCTCGTCCATGGCTGCCCCGTCCCTCACTCCGGCTGCCATGGCTGCCGCGCGCACAGCACGGGCCGCGCGGCCCCGCGTTGTTGGCATGCTCCGCCGCCGGCCCCCGCACACAGCGCCGAACCTCACCGTCCTTTCCCGTGCCTAACTGCTGCCACATCGCCCAAACCCGCCGCCGCCATCTCCATGGCCGAGACGGGGTCGAGCTCTCGATCTCCTCCATCCGCGGCCACAGCACTGTCCCGGGGCACGTTACCTCCGAGGTCCGCCTCTCCCAATACGCTCCGACCGACGAGAACACCACCAGCCACGCTTGGCCTCCTCCGCCCCTCGCCGGAGCTCTCCAGCCGCTGGAGCCCTGTCCCGCATGCACACTAGTGAGACTGCAGTGACCGCGCCGAGCGTGCGCAGCAACACGAGGAACAGGCTGTCGTCCTCCTGCCCGACGGGGACGTGCAGCAGGAGACGCGGACCGGAGAGGCCGAAGCGTGCTCGCTCGTGGGCTATGGGCAACCACGGCGCACCGGTGGCCGTCCGCCTCGCAGTCATCACTTTGCTTGGGCCGACAAGAAAAGCAGGAGTAGTACACTGCAGTCTTCTCTTTGCTTGGGTCGCTGTGAACTAGGGGAACAGGAGAAAAAAAAACAGAATTCCTGATCTGAAGTTAACGGTGCAGCCATGGACGAGGAAGGAAGAAGGTGCTGATAGGTGGGCCCCGCTAGCAGTGACTAGCAGAGAGATAGAGACAGGGGTAATACTGACTTTTGACGTGCCTCTCTGTTCGGAACAGGCGAGGGTACACGCTGGCATGCTGAGTGACCACCCTATTGGTGGCAAATAATTAGATCTCCCCCTCCTTCCGACATAACTGCCTGCGCGGCTTCTCCGCTCGCCTACGCAAGGCATCGAGAGCGGCAGGAAGGACAAAGAAACCACATGACAGCAACAGTAGTGAAGGCCCGCTGAGCCAATCAACATGACATCTCAACCCTCAAGAAACATAATTAATTATTACTTCCGTGGCGGTGCCTCTACTAGGAAATTTACACGTACAACGATGGTTAGTATGATCCTACCAAAATTTTGCTCCTCATCCAGCTGCCCTTTCATGGCAGATGGGGAAAGTAAAGAAAAGAATCAGTTCAACTATATGGAGAATTATATGACCTGCCTATATGAACAGTTAAAAAATGGTGCTTCCCCATCCTGACAATATCCTCCAGCTTCACCAATCTCCTTCGGAGAGGGAGATCAAGGAGGCGTAAAAAGAATCCGTATTCACAACAACGGTGCCTTTTTGTGCTCCAACTCTTCTTCCATGTAAACATATTGAACTGCTGCAATCAGAAAACAGAAAGCAAGAGCACTGGTGGACTAAAGGTGCACCCGACGTGGTTCGGAAAAATCTTGAATTGTTAGCTTCAGTCATGGTCATTGTCCCAAGGGCTTCTGCTTGTAACCAGACTTCTGCCTTTCAAGTAACTTCACCTTGTTCTTGAGCTTTTTGTCTAGCTTTTTAATATATTTATCCTCCCTTTCCCGGTCAGCAATGCCAGGCCAGAACACCTGACCAGTTAATGGCCACAGCCATTGATCATTTCCAGGATGCATGCCATCATCAGCTTCTTCTGCCAGATCCTCATCCATGCTCTTCAGAATGGTGAAATCGAAGAACTTTACCCACATCCCATTTCTTTTATCGAGCAGATGCTGCTCTCTGGTATCCCCAGTGAAAGGGTTAAGGTAGACCATCTTCCTTCCACTGTGATAAGCCCAGACATTTACAAGGACTTCCAGGATTCGACAATAGCAGTGCCTTCTCTGCGGTAAGAGTACCAAGTTTAGTTGACATTTGCACCAAAATATATCAATAATTGTCAAAAGAAAAAGGAAAAGATATGGTCACCTCAGGTTCTGATGCCCCAAGGAAGCAAGAGGCTGGCTCAGTACTATTCACATTCAAGCTATGAAGTGAATCGACAAATATTCTGCAAAAATACAACCCAAACCAACGTTATGAACACATAAGTGAATTGCCGCATACAATGAGAGATCAGAAGTACCTTGAGAACATGATGAATTTCAAAAATGATGGGGTGGGCATGACCCAGCTATGAAGAGTAGACCAATGATCGCCATCACTGGGCATTGGTGGAAGGGCCATGACATTCTCTGGCAATCCATACATAGTCCTAAATGCATCTTCAAAAAGAGATCTGTGACAAGAAAACACTGTTGAAGATAATGTTCCAAACAATTAAGATGGAATAGTGGCCTCGTGCAGTGCACAATATGAGTTGCACAAAGTACAGCAAAGAGTGATTGAAAAGGTCTGGACCATGTGCGTGGCAGTGGTTGAGTTGTCCTAAAGCCTGTTTACTAGAAACATAGTTTAAGGAAGAAAATAGAAAATAAAAAGGAACATGCTGGGGCATTCGAAAAGCACCTGCAATTGCCAGCATTTAGAGAATCACACGTCAACCAAAAGTCAGAAGTTTGGTCCATATCCATTGGTGACCAGTAGTATACAACATCCTCGTTACTTTCTCCAGACGTAATTTCCTCTAAGGTTTTTTCAGCACTTTCAGACAAGGATACCTGATAAGAGGATATTAAGATGACATATATTCATATCATTCTCAACAAAAACAACCTCATTATTTCAAGGCTCAGCAGATCCAATACATGGAGGAAAATGTAAACATGTTTTTAACATATATAAGCCAACAGTAGTATCCCATTTTGTATTCTCACTGTTACATTACGTGCTAGCCTAACAAGTGGCTAACAGGTCAACGTAATTACAGATATATAAATCAATTTTTAGAATTGATAATCCAAACCGAGATAAACGGAAATACCAAATGTTTTGAGATTTGAGATGTTCTCAGTTTAGAGTGCAGCAATGCCAATATGCTATAGCACAAAGTAATTTAGCTCTGGTCATTATTACTAAACACATAAAGCAAACAAGAATTATAGTTCAAATTCTGTTTCAAAAGATGTATATCCTAATCTAGTCTCATAAAAACAATTTTGAGCCTGATCATCCAAATTGTCCTTCACACATCAACCATTATATGGTGTAAATAACATCTTATTAGTTTTTAGGGTAGTTTTGCTATATGATCTGGTTTTGTAATATTGTGGCCAGATTTTAGCTGACAAGATTTGCTATATGATTCTGGAGTAACTTGGTTGCAGGACGAGTAGTTGATATGATCAGAAGAGCATAGCAGGACTCTAGACGGATTGTTTCAATCTAAACCTGACAAAGATCTAGGAACTGTCAAGAACGGAAATCTGGTTTTAATTGTGACACATCTCTATTCTCGTCAAGTTCAAAGTCTCCAAAGCAAGGTTCATATTTGAAGAGTTGAAGTACTGTTTTGTGAAGACTTGAGGTATTTGCTGAAGTACGGGTTGTGAAGGCAGTACCCTCTTGTGGAGGAGATCATTTTCTACATTGACATTGTTCAAGAGTTGCACGCTTAGACGACATCTTCTATTTTGGATTTTGGATGTAATTCGTCTCTTTTATTTTTCAAGTCTAGTGCATAGTGCCAACTCTCCAAATGCAACGCCATTGCATTCACGTTGTATTTGAGAGGGGGTGTTAAGGTATAATAGTCAAGGGTATTAATGTAATCTCCTAGTCTAGGGTTTCCCTCCTGTGTCGCTCATGTACTCTATACATAATCCCCATTGGGCCTCAATATTATAATCTAGTCGAGTCTCTCATTATTCGCAACAATGTCAAGTAATGGCTTGGGAAGTCAGTGTGACGGGTTTCAAGAGGGTGATATGTACAATGTCCTTTTTCTCAAAGAGAAAATTTTTATAAGAAAGCTGGTATGACCAATATGACCAAAAGTCCAAAACAGACATAAAGTTCTATGAAAAAGGAAAAACTGGTACCTTTCTTCCATCAGCCCGCCATGACTGGAAACCTATCCATGGTAACTTGTGTACATTATCAACTCTGTTTGCAATGGCAAACATAGCACCAAATTCACAAAGAAGATCTCGATAGTATGGGTTGTCTAGAACTGAAAGCCTGGTAACAGCATCAACATCATCTGATCTCGGTCGCCTTCCACCTTTTGACTTGAGATAATATGCAAAAATAGGCATAAGCTTTGAATGAACATGTGCACCAACATACATTAGCTCAGAACTTAACTGCTGTGGAGGGTATTCCTATATATGTATTAATAAACAGAAAAATGCTACTAACTATCGATCATTCAGTGTATCAGTTCAAATAAAACTCAGGCTGGATCATGGTGATGGCGACAATGAAATATCAATAAGAGACACAAGTATATGTTCAACAATGCAGACAGACTGATCTGGGTCGATGCTTCCCCAGTACATAGTGTAAATATCTCAAATTTTATATATAGTGGTAGAGATGATGAAAACCAAGTAAAATAATATTATTGAGCACCTCATGGAAAGTGGGAAATGATATGAGCCTCTGGATAAGACATGCAGTGAAGTAAATTTACCAAGACTTACAAGTGTAACACCACGATACAAAGATCCATGGTGTAAAAATGGCCATGCCCCCTCTCCACTATAGATCTCATATATACACACAGGTTGCCCAGTCCTTTCTAGTTCACCTTCGTCACGTTCATTTCCTTCTGGCTTTAGCCTTTCTGATTTACGAGCGTTTTTGTACACTTCATCCCATGATAACAAAGGTCTTTCCACTCTTTCATCAATCTACGTTGCAAAACAGCATACTTGATTTAGTTTGCCAATTTAGAAAGAAAAAAAAGTCTCATTGGACAAGATAGGAGAGGTCATGCCAAAAAAAAGGGAAAAACTTGCCTCTTCCATTTCTCTCCTCTCAATGTCTTCAAAGATTTCAGTTTCACTTAAGTCATACCAATCGGACAAACGAGGGTAATCATATGAAGTATCATTGGTATCAGCATAAGTTGTTTGGTTACTTTGAGGGAATTCTCTAAGAATATCAACAGTCTTTTTCGCTGGTATGGCTTTCATCTTCCAACAAACTATTTTCTAGTACAGCTTTCATCTCGAAAGGATCCCACAACCATGTTCGTTCTTGAACTTTAGAAACAGAAGATGGCAATTTTGCATATGAAGGAAAATGAATAACACTTTCAAGAAGCTTAACATGAGCTTTAATACAATAATGTGCTAACATGTTCTTGGAAAGTAGCTTCCCTTCCAGAGCAACAGAATAGGCAGTATCCAAAAGCTTTTTTTCTCCTAAAATTTGTATGAAAGCTGAAGAAATCGTGCTTGGATCGGCAGAATCGAAAAGGAAGCCATGGACACCATCACTGACCTGGAACAACACATTGTCAAAAGTAGTGGTAAAGATTTACATGTGAACAGCATATTATGAATTCGATCGAGTGGCATACATATTTTGTTATAACAGTAAGATTTGGTGCAACAACTGGAATTTCAGAGGACATGGACCGCAATAACAAAGGAGGGAAGCCAGGCTCTTGTCTTAAAGATCCATAGAGAACAACATCCACAAACATTAACAGGTTCCTAATATCATGAGTCATGGAAAATTGCTTTATGGAGACATCAGGTAAACCCATGTGCAAGGTAAGTTCCTGTACAACAGAAAATTAGGATGATATTAGCATGTAACTTTGTAAAAACAAGAACAATGAATTACTAAACAGACGCGCAAGCGCCCATTCTAAAAAATTTTGAAGAACAGAACAAATAGAGAGAGGAAGGACAAGAAAGGTGTTTATCTAATATGTGTGTTTACTCTTCGGTACAAGCTTTCTGCATCATTCGAAGAAAAAAAAGCATATGAGGTTAACGCAAAGTAAAGTACCCAAGTAATTAACTAGAGGATGGATAGTCATTAGAAATAAATAGGTTAGCCAACTGAAAGCATGTCCAACTAAACATACAAGCTTGAAGGCTTAAGAAATCCAAGATCTTGCTTTAGTGAAGTTCACAAATGCACTGCATAGTTACTTTAAATGCCAAAGAATTGTGAAGTAGAAAAGCAAAAATAAGATCTGGCCAACTTCTGCCAGTTACTTTTGACTTTAAAAGGATGCTTCCATGGGCACAATATGGTAACGATATTGGCTCAGCAAACCAGCTTAAGCAGATGACAAAAAAAAAACATCACTGAGGTAGAAACGGTATTTCTTGGAAGTTTCAATAGCATGGTATTTCTCCCAAAGGTCACTATCTAATTTGTGAAATATTCATTACCTGGAAAGCAGATTTGTAGGCATCAGAGCCATTTCCACAGAAAAAAATAAACTGCACCCTCAGATTTTTAGTTTTTGCTATATCCAAAATTTGTGGAGCTGATGCACGCATGACTGTGACATAATCCCATGGCAAATCATCAAAGAACAAGTAGCTTCCAACGACCAAAATAACGACATCATCTTTGTCAATCCCATGCTGCTTTCTTATAGTTTGTTCAGAATGTGATGAACCAAATCTTTTAGCAGCCCAGATATCAACTGGAGAACCAGAAATCACCAAAAAGTTTCCAGAATCAAGAGGCGAGTACAAGAACTGAAATCAGATAGCTAAAGGTCAGACAAAAATTCAATTTCAGCAATTATTCTACAGTATTGAGTTGAGGGTGGTACATACAGGAAGGTAGCTATCTGGAAAAATAATATAAGCGCATGCATTAAAATGAGCCCTCCAATCTTCAATGACATTTGGAATGGAATCACGTAACTCTGCATAATTTCTAAGACGTTGTCCAAGAGTGTCTTCATGTATAAGCCAAACCACTGGTAGAAGCCGGAAAGGTTCCTGCATAAGACTGAAAACAATATGAATTTGCTAAGTGCCAAACAAAGAAATGGTACAGAAAAAGGGAAATGAATTCCAAGAATTGAATATTAAATGAACAAAATGACAAGTCATTTAATGGAATAAATAATTTCACAAAACAACATGACTACATCAGCTGTTCCTTTTTTTTGTCCAATAGGAATGCTAATAGCTAACCAATTTTTCCATTAGCAAATTGTGTTTTATTACATGGCAACCCTGGAGCGTAAGACGTGTAGTAGCAGAATGCTCACATTGAAACAACCCTTTTCCCTTCGAGAGAGCTTAATAGCACAGCATTGTACCTACAAAGTTAGGAACAGAGAATAGAAGTGTAACAGATAAATAAGACATGAGATAATAATAGCAGTGAAAATATTCCAATCTTAAAGTATTAGCAACTCACTTTGACCAGTCGACAGATTTCAAAGTCCCAGCGTTCACAATATTTACAAGGCAAATATTTTCCCAAATATCACGAGCTTTCCCATCTGTAAACGCTAAAACCTAATCCATAGCAACACCATGAGTGGCATGGAGTATGAAGTATTCTCAACATCGAAAAATCAAGAATGACCACCAAAGGGCTACATGTTCCAAACAAGTTTGACAAACCCAAGGGTACAATGTCACAACCCAATGGCATACCCACCAAACTAGAAGACATTTTGCAATCTGTAGAAAATATTGTTGCATGGAAACTCACCTCAACTTCGTAGCCCAGACTCACAAGACTTTTCGCAACAGTTGCAAGCATCAGAGATTGTGCATCTATGTTCATATTTCCAACAGCCTGAAACAACCGGAGCCAAAGTCAACTCTCCATGGCATGCAGTTTAGCATTAAAAATGAATGTGTTAGACCTAACCAATAAAGAAACAGAAAAACACGCAAACAATACAATACATGGCATGCATATATCTAGGTAAGCATGTCTGTTCCTCCATCTAATACTAAACTCTGACCAGTACACCGCATTTCATTAGTAAATCCAAGGCGAGCTCTATCAGACCATTAAAAAACTAGGCATCCTTCAATGGTACCAAAATTCACAACCACTGCAGCGAATTGGTAGGTGACGAGTGATTCTATCAGGGTTTGGGAAAATGCGCAGGTTAAGTAGTGCGTAGTGGTGCACTCACGAGCGCTACCCTGACGGGCGCGAGGCTGGCCCACCGCCGCCGCTCGGATCTCGCGGCCTCGAGCCGGCTCTCGCCGTCGAACGCGCGCAGCACTAGGCTGGAGGACGAGAACCGCATCGCCCCGGCTTCGCCTCCCTCGAGGCGCGGCGGCGCCTCCGCGTCCCCCTCCGCCGCGTCGCCGTCGCCGATGGGGAGCAGTTGCCAGACCACTAGCAGGGAGGCGGTGAAGAGCGCCACGAGGAGCGCGAAGAAGAGGTGGCTCGGGCGGCACGGCAGCCCCGGGCGCCGCCGTCTCCGCGCCGCGGCCGCGGCGCCCGCGGCGGCGGTGGAGGAGAAGGACGCGCCCGGGCCCGCGGTGGGGAGATGGTGCACGGCGTCGGCGTGCGCCCCGCGCCGCCACATTGGAATGCAACCCCGCGGCGGCGGCGGCGATCGGAACGGCAAAGGGTCAGTTGGTCGGGTCTGGCCAGTGAGGGTGAGGAGCTGCTCGTTGTTGCTGACTAGCTGCTGTTACATGGGACAGTGGGACGCGTCCCGATGCGAGCCGCGGGCGCGGTGCGGGCGAGGAGGGGAGAAGTGAGGAGGCGGGTTGAAGGAGAGCAGATCCACGTAGAGAGGATTCTCAGTGTGCCATTAAAAAAAATCGTAATGCGTGTCCCTCAAAAAATTTAACGGTTTTTTTTTTTTTTTAACGACTCTAACGCCAATTCAAAGTTGTAGTCAAATTTTCATATAAAATTATTTTATTTAATTCCGTAGATGTGAAAAGATGAAAATATCCTATTTTTTATGAATTAAATAATATGTTATTAATTTTTTAGCATCTTAGAACACTGACTTCAAATGAAAAACTCACAAAACTAAAGTTGCTTAAAGAGAACTTGTCGAGATCTATAATTTTGGATGATATAAAATTATTTTTATTTAATTCCGTAAAAAATAAGATTTGATATGATTAATATAGGTTAGAAAAATCATATTATTATTTTTACGGAATTAAATGAAAATAATTTTATATGAAAATTATAGATCTCCCAAAAGATCTACAACTTTCTAGTTTTGAGTTTTTCATTTGAAGTCAATGTTAAGATGCTTAAAAATTAATAACATATTTAGACTTAAGGGTATTTTTCGTCTAACAGCGCCGTGGTGTTTGGCGAGGCATGGCGCAAGCATGGTGAAGACAAGCCCAGGAAGAGCATGGCATGACCAGGCGGATGACCTTGACCGAGGAAGAGAAGACAATCGTTAGAGCCCTATCAAACCTGCTCTCGGCAAGCCAAACGGAAGTGGCAAGTGGAGGACACGAAAAGTTGGAGTAGTGAAACAAGTGAAAACATTTGGAACATACTTTGCAATGTATGATATGCTATAGCCTCAGCCATCGCAAGACCGGATAAAACACTTGGAACATACATCTCAAAACTTTTTCATAGACATACAGTACATTGTGATCTTTTTTAATGCCACACAGGAAATTCCCTCGTGGATGAATCAGTGGACCTCTATTGCGAGCGAGGCAGAGCTAGAATACCGGAGCTCAAATGATATTTCCCCGTAGCTGTAGCGTATAGGATGCCATGTCGGACATGGATAAGTACGCCACGACGTATCTTTCTTTGTTTGCAGACAGCGCCATGGCTACGGACCTATGGTGTCTAGTGTCTTTGGGCCCGAGAGGGAAACGGGTAGTGGGAAGATGCCAAACTTGGCTTCGTGACGACAAAACACACAGAACAAACATAGTGTTAGGCTTGTGATTGAGAAGATGCGTGAAGGATCCAGCTGACTCGCGTTGTTTTGTTGTAAGAGGAAAACATCGTTTGCCATCGTTGCTTGATAAAGTTCAAGCGAATAAACTTCAACACCACCCTCCCTTTGGTAGTTCGATAAGGTGTGTAATCTGGTTAGCTTCTAAGTCTGAAGAACTTTAGTTTGCTCCCATCAAATAAATCACTGGTTGTTTGGTTGTAGAGTCACCTCTTGTCCTAATTGGTAAGTTTACCCTATTTAAGAGATTTCGTTGAATCGGGTGGTGTGCATCCTCAACGCACATGTCACAGCAAAGATACTTCAAGTTGTCAATACAGATGCTGTTCACAAAGCAATTACGCCCACCTCCTTGTAGAAATCTTCTGAATTTTTAATCATCTCTTCAAGCATGGGGAGCACGAAAGCATCATTGCATTTGGGCTTGTAATACAGAATTGTTCAATCTTTTCAAACTGGTAGCAGCTCCAGTGGGGAGGAGGAGGGTGAGATATCTGGGGACCTCCACTATCAATGGGGACAGGTGGGGGGTCAGCACTATGGCGGAGATGGCGAACTCCATGAGCTTCCCATGGTCATTTACTTTGTAATAGCATATATTCTTTTTCTCACAGAACACAACTAAAATATGAATCGCATTCACCAGATAGTCATGAGTAGTGTTCATACTCATTCGGGGAGATGGTGTTTAGCCGACACACAAGTTCTGTTGAACGCCATTGGGGTGAGCTGCTGACCATCGCGCATCAGCAGCTGCAAAGAAACACATGGTGACCATGGCTTTTCACAGAAAGGGGTGTGGCACAAATCAGGAAACTAAACAGATGCAGCTGAGCATGATGGCAAGTGATGAGGGCCTGGGCATGCAAGCATGGAATGGTGCAGCCTTACTTTGAGGAAGGGAAGACAATTTCTTGTTTCCTTTCTCATGAAGAGGTCCGCATCGGGCGGATGAGAGGTGGAGGACACCTTCATCCATCAAAAAGTAACGGCCACATCAGACCTGCAAAAGTTGGGAAGGTAACAGATTCGGCAATGTAAAACACAATTGACTTGCTCTCTGGGCAAGCCAGCTATTGAGTAGCTATGAGTAAACATCACGTTAAAAAGATTCTCCGGATGAGTGGTTCCACGTTCTATTTCTATGCAGCCAGCTAGGCCAAAGGGTGGTCGGTAGCTAAGTTAGCAGGAACCGCCTCCGCCTGCGCTCGCTTCCCACGCCTGCTAATAAAAACACTTGCAACATGAAGCTCTTGTTGCAACATTCTCCTTTCTCCCCATGTCCTTAAAACAACATTATTTTCCGGTAACAAATCCAACCAGTGAAAACATTTGGAACATACTTTGAATTTCAGAATCGAATCATGAAAGACAAGCCCCACAAGCCAAGCTATCAGGGATGTGCAGCAAGCATGATCTTGATAAATTAATAAAATATTGTCGCCTAGCTTACTCATATGCTCAGCTCTGTGGCAGCCAACCTCTCCTTGATCTCATTGGTGGATTCCATCAGCTCCTTAACTTTTAGTTCGTTATTTCTCTGCACATGAACAAAGCAACCATCATGGCAAACCCAAGGACAACAGAAGTTACACAAGAAACTAGACTAGGCAAGAGTATAACCATCATGTCGCGATACTCCTCACTGAATTCGTTTAGTTCATTCATTCTTAGACACCATGGAAATAATAAACATGCATAAAGAAAAATCATGATGAGGACAACCAGAAATCAGATTTCCATCTTACCTCATCAAGGGTGGCCACCTGTATCTTAGCACCATTGGCAGCCAACCTTTCCTGTGCAACCTGATGCATGAGCTGCAGAGCAACAAGAGCACATCACACATGGTGATTAAGCCAAAATAAGACACCCAAAAAAACATAAACATAAACAGGTTGGCACAGCACACGAAAGTAAAACCCCAGAGCCTGGGCTCTAAATAAGACCGCCATTGGCATCCCCCACGGCCTATCACACCTATGATGCCATCGTAACCACACCTCGCCGCCACCGGCCTATCCATATTTGAGCCAATGCAAGGGAGACACCCTATCTCGTGTGACGGTGCGTCAAGTGTAAGATTGGAAGATTTTAGTCGATTGATCAATATATAAATATTTTTGGGAGAGACTAGTGAACGTACCATCTTCAGCTTGCCCGTATCTCGGCTGGTGGCGTTGAGCTCCTTCCGGATGTTATCCAGATCGTGCTGCCCTGCAGCGACGAGAATTAATCCTGGGAGTCAGATATACGCCGGAGACCGGAGATCTGGAACGAAGGGCTTCAATTCGTCTGAGCAACGAAGAGATCTTACTACGGCGCCATAGGTCGTCTAGGTCGATGACCTCGTCGACAATCTCGACGGAAGCAAAGCGTTTGCGCTGCGACTCGCGGACGGCGTCCGGATCGCCGTCCTTTTTCTTGCCCGTTGCCGGTACGGCCGGTGCGGAAGAGGTTGATATCAAGCATCGTCGTGTGATGCGGTGGAGCAGCGCGGACGGACGACCTTCGGTTGGCAAAGTAGAACGAGCGGCGGCGCAAGGGTACGGACTTGTCAGTGCGAAGCTCCAGATATATAGGATGCCGAAACCCTGTTTTCGTCCGACGTCTCGACTTTGCCCCACCCCACGCGCACGGCACGTCCCGCCTCTTCTCCCACCAGGCCACCACGCAACCCCGTCTCTTCCCTCACCAGGTCGCTCAAAGCCGCCGCCCCGTCCGCCGCGTTTGCATCCACCGAGCCGCCCAGCACCACGGTCGTCCCGGCCGGCCGCTGCACCATCCCCGGCTCCCATACCCACGGCCGTCTCCTCCGCGGACGCCACCGACACCAACCCGGCCGCGATCCGCGCGTTCCTCTCCCGCCTCCGGCCTCCTCGACACCACTCGTCGCGCGCTCTCGGCGCCCGTTTCTGGTCCCAGACTCCCAGCTCTCCTGGCCGCGGGCCCGCGGCACTCCTCGCGCACCCCTTCTCCCTGGCCGCGCTCCTCGCACTGCTCGCCGCCTGCTGCCTCCTCTAAGTGCTCCGCCCGCCGACGCGCCCCCGCTCGCCGCGTTTGGCGGCCGCGCCACCGCGAGGTGCTGGGAGGGACCGTCGCCGCCTCCGCGTTCGTCGTCTTCCTCGCCTCCGTGGGGTCCCTCATCTTCTCCGCTCTCGCGCGGGGGCCGTCGTCGCGTTCCGCGTGCCCGAGCCGAGGAACTTTTTTTTTTTATCGCACTTTCCAATTTTATAGAAAAGTTCAAGCTGCATGCTACGCACACAATTATATATCAGGTTCAAGAGGCAAAGAATAATGCTTCACAGAGTTTAACTAAAAATCACGCGTTCGGATCAAAAGTACTCCGTAGTAGCAACCAGCCGACATGCTGATCGTTACACAAATGAACAAAGAGACTCAAAAACTCGAAAAAAAAGGGGAAAAGTAAAAAGAAGGAAAATGTCTGTGAACGCAAAACGCTCGCATAAATCACCGGGAGTAATACAATACGGGCGACGCCGACGATCGAATGGCCAGCGGCCGGGATCATCACCATCAGTAGCCGGCGTCGTCGTCCTTGACGCACTGCGGCAGGGTGCAGTAGTACGGGCCGACGGCGTAGGTTTCCTTGTTGGGGGAGGCACGCGTGAGGCGGGACGGCGTCTGGCCGGTCCTGCCGCGGTTGAAGTCGGTGAAGACGGCGCAGCCCGCGTCGCCCGAGGAGGCGAGGCGGACGAGGCACCGGGACGCCTCGATGTCGCGGCCGTTGCTCTTCGCCTTCCTGGGCACCTCGATGTTGAACACGCCCTCGCCGTCCGTGGCGTCCGAGCCGTGGTACACAACCCGGTTGTTGTTGTCCCGGCACGTGATGCTCACCTTGCTGCCTGCACGTGGACATGGTGGGTTAATTTGCCGGTCGGGGAGCGAGGGGGCTCGGAAGGGTGCAACGGGAAACGAACCGGGGATCGGCTTGCCGTTGTAGGCGTAGGCGTTCCAGTTCTTGGTGCAGTCCTGGCACTGCACTTTGCCCGTCACCGTGAACGTGGACGGGTGGTAGTCCGGCAGCCGCGCCTCGGCGCACGCGACGGCCACGGCGGCCACCACCACCAGCGCGAGCGCGGGCATGCCCCTGATGCGCGCCATTGAAACACCTGTCTGTCGCGCTCGCCGCCGATAACCAACCTTCCGCACGCACGTATGTAGCGTAGGGGACAACACGCTCCGGAAGAAGACCACAGCAGAGACTGGTGGTGCTTCAGCGGCCGGGCAGGCAAATGCGACGATATGGCTTTTTATCGGGCGGGATTTCTCACCACGCGCGGCCGGCGACGTGAGCCCAACCCAACTCTACGATGGCTTTGGGCAACGACGTGCGCGCCAGTACGTACGTGTCGTGTCGGTACACATCCTCAGGCGCCACCCGTCGATCCGTCCGGCCGGCCGTCCGTCGTGGAGGCCACACCCACGGTCGGCTCCAGCCGGCCGCGCTCAGGCACACCGCGCGTAGTCGCTAGCACGCGACGCCCAACGGCTCCAACCGTACGCACCGCGACGTGTGGACCACCTGTTAGATCCCAAAGATCATCTAGAGTAGCATCTAGTCGGGTGATTCTTTTATTTGGGATGAACAAGTAGATAACCTAATGAACTACAGAGTGATAGAGAGAGGAGAGTGGATGGGAGTGTACAGACCATCGGAGGGCGCCGTCGAGGAGGATCCGGCCATCTCGTTCTGTCGGTGACGTTCTGCGCATGGGCAGCGATGGTCGAAGAAGAGTCGGTGAAGTCCGGCGACGCGGTGGGGTGCAGTGAGGCCGACGGTGATGACGGTGGCGTCTTCCCGTCGCTGGCTGCGCGCCCTTACTAGATCGGACTTAGGGTTTGTTAGTGGGGCGGATTGGCTCACGGTGAACCTCGTACTATGAGCCGTCGGCCCCCACCACTTTATATAGTGCAGTGTGACGGGGGCCCACCAACCATGTAGGGTTGGGCGTTCCCGATCAGGGCGCGTGACCAAGGCCCAATAGACCGTTGGGCTTATTGGCTGGGAGATCATTCCAACATTCTTCTCTTTGATCTCACACTATTACTTTTATCTTTAAACTTTAAACTTCAATTCTTTTCTCCTTTCTCATTTCTTCACAGATGATGCATAGAGCATATTTCATCGTCACGGTCAATCGCCGATAGATTTAACAGATACAATGCACGTCTCTGATCTGAAATAGATACTTTAACTTTTGTGCCCTTTATAGTCCAGGAATCCTAGGCTTTCTCTTAAATCCATGCTGGCTACATGTTCTCTGAACACGTTGGGTGGTAAGCCTTTTGTAAGCGGATCCGCGAGCATCTTTTCGGTACTTATATGCTCAAGACTTATCATTTGATCCCGGACTCTATCCTTCACAACATAATACTTTATGTCAATGTGTTTGGCAGCACCACTTGACCTATTGTTGTGAGCATACTGTACTGTTGGATTATTATCGTAGTATAACTTCAGTGGTCTATAGATGTCGTCAACCACTTTCAAACCGGGTATGAACTTCTTTAGCCAGTTCATCTGCCCCGATGCCTCATAACATGCTACAAACTCGGCATACATTGTGGACGATGTAGTGACAGTTTGCTTTGAGCTTTTCCATGAAATAGCTCCTCCTGCGAGAGTGAATACATATCTCGACATGGATTTTCTATCATCTCCCGCATAATCAGAATTCGAGTACCCCACTAATTGGAGAGATTCTGATCTTCTATACGTCAACATGAGGCCTTTCGTACCTTACAAATATCGCAAGACTTTCTTTACCAATTTCCAGTGTTCCATTCCTGGATTACTCTGAAATCTGCCAAGCAACCCGATAACAAAAGCTAAGTCAGGGCGCGTACACACTTGAGCATACTGTAAGCTTCCAACAGCTGAAGCATATGGAACCGCTTTCATTTGATCGAGCTCGTACTGGTTCCTGGGGCATTAAAAGTCTCCATATCTGTCGTCCTTGACTATAGGAGCAGACGATGGACTACATTTATGCATACTGAATTTCTTTAATACTTTTTCTATGTATGCCTTTTGTGACAGTCCTAATACCCCATTTCTTCTATCTCGGTGAATTTCTATGCCCAAAACATATGATGCTTCACCAAGGTCTTTCATCTCAAACTTTGAGGACAAAAACTTCTTTGTCTCCTGCAGCAGACTCACATCACTACTAGCAAGTAGAATGTCATCCACATACAGAACGAGAAAAATAAATCTCCCATTCCTAAACTTTGCATAAATGTAGTTGTCCTCAACATTCTCTTTAAACCTAAAATTCTTTATTGTTCTGTCAAACTTCAAGTTCGACTGTCTTGAAGCTTGCTTCAATCCATAAATGGATTTCTTTAGGCGACAACCTATTCTTTCATTTCCTTCTACAACAAAACCTTTTGGTTGTGCCATGTAAATATTTTTCTCTAAATCTCCATTTAGGAATACTGTCTTTACATCCATCTGATGTAATTCTAAATCATAATGTGCCACTAATGCCATTATAATTCTGAGAGAATCCTTACATGAAACTGGAGAAAATGTCTCATTGTAATCTATCCCCACTCTTTGTGTAAAACCTTTCGCCACAAGTCGCGCTTTAAACCTTTCTATATTCCTTCTGGAGTCATATTTTGTTTTGTAGACCCATTTATAGCCTACTGTTTTGACTCCTTTAGGAATTTGTTCTAAATCTCAAACACCATTGGAACTCATAGATTCCATTTCATCTTTCATAGCTTTCAACCACTTTGATGAGTGTTCGCTTCTCATGGCTTCTTCATACGAGGTGGGATCACCCTCCATATGAAACTCTTCAGTATTATAGATTTCATAATCATCAGAAATAACTGATCTTCTAACTCTTTGAGACCTTTTAAGGGCCTCCACATTTGGCACATTTTCTGTTTGAGCTTGTTGTTGCTCCCCCTCATGTGTGGCAACAGGTTCTGTAGGATTCTGAACCATGGGTTCCTCATCCTCATTCGTTGTTGTCATAGGAGGAATAACAACAGGTGCTGGTACCACAACATCTTGCATTGTAGGTGTAGCAGCAGCAGGTAGCTCGAAAAATGGCTCCTGAACCATTGGAGTGGGTGCATACACCCGTTTCTCCTCAAGATTAATTTCTCGAGCTACCATGCTCTTCCTCATCATTTCATTCTCTAAGAAGACAACGTGTCTCGTTTCCACAAACTTTGTATGTCTATCTGGACAATAGAAACGAAAACCTTTTAACTTTTCTGGGTAGCCAATGAAATGACAACTTACTGTTTTGGGATCTAACTTCTCAATGTTTGGGTTAAATACTTTAGCCTCAGCAGGACTCCCCCACACACGTAAGTAGTTTAGTGAGGGTACTCTTCCTGTCCACAATTCATATGGTGTTTTGGGCACCAACTTACTTGGTACTCTATTGAGAATATGAATGGCGGTTTTTAACGTCTCCATCCACAGTCTCAACGGTAAGGTGGAGTAACTTATCATACTACGCACCATATCCATCAGGGTATGGTTACGCCTTTCAGCTACTCCATTCTGCTGAGGTTCGTCCGGTGTTGAATACTGGGCGACTATACCATTCTCCTGTAAGAACCTTGCAAAAGGTCCAGGAATTTGTCCATATGGGGTATGCCGACCGTAGTACTCCCCCCCCACGGTCAGACCTGACTATTTTAATATTTAAATCATGCTGATTTTCAACTTCTGCTTTAAATATTTTAAATTTATCCAATGCTTCTGTTCTTTCTTTAATTGGATAAATGTAGTCAAAACGAGAGTAATCGTCTGTGAATGTTATGAATGAATCATAACCATCCACACTTTTCACAGGAAAAGGACCACATATGTCTGTGTGAATTATCTCTAAAATTCATGTGCTTCGTTTGGCATCCTTTTTAATTTTATTTACATACTTTCCTTTTATGCAATCTCTACATTGTTCTAAATCTGAGAGCTCTAATGGAGGAAGAATATCATTCTTAACTAGTATTTCTATTCTCTCTCTCGAAATATGGCCTAAACGACAGTGCCATAATTTCGACAGCACATCGTGAGCTCTCTTTCGTTTTCTGTTTGCATTGTTCAATGAGGATACATTCTCATTCACATCACATACGGAATTCATATTTTCACGAAGTGATGACAAATAAAGCTTGTCTTGTCGGAAGGCAAGACCAATACATCTATTATTAAACAATATTTGGCATTTGCCATTTCAAAAATGACAATCATAACCATCATGGTCCAACTTTGATACACTAATCAAGTTTCTTTGTAAAGAAGGTACATAAAGAACATCTCTAAGAAAAAGTATGAAGCCATCAGCAAGCTCTAGCGGAAGATCGCCAACGGCCTCAACATCTACTTGTACTCCATTTGCGACTTTAATGAAACTTTCGCTTCTTTGCAAAGTTCTCATCGAACGGAATCCCTGTAAAGAATTAGCAACATGAATAGTTGCACCTGAATCAATCCACCAAGTGTATTTTGAAAACTTGACATACAAGGATTCATTTACGAACGTAATAATGTTCTCACCTTTATTTTTCATAATCATCTTTAGGAAATCAGGACAATTTTTCTTATAATGTCCCGTTTTCTTACAATAGAGACACTGGTCTTTATCCACTGAAAATTGCTTGTTCTGAGACTGTTGCATGGGACCCTTTCCAGATGACTTGGAGGAAGAGTTGTTATTATAGTTCTTTTTCTTATTATCATTTAGGTAGTTGATCGTACCACCATGTGAAACTTTTATTCTTTCCTCCTGCACACACATGGCTATGAGCTTTTCTAAATCCCATTTCTCGGGATGTATGTTGTAATTAACAACAAAAATATCAAATTCTTTTGGCAAAGAAGCAAAAATCAAATGAATAAGGAACTCATCCTTGAGAGCCAAATCCATTGGTTTGAGCTTAGATGACAAATTGCTCATTCTCAGTATGTGCTCTCTAATACCACTGTCGCCACCAGAGTACCTTTCTGTTACCAGCTGCTTGATCAGCTGGGTTGCATATGTCTTTGAAGAGCCAGTGAACTGACTCTTTATTCTTTCTAGGTACTCTGTGATCGTGTCACAGTCTGGAATTGAGTTCACTATTGCAGGCTCAATTGTATTCTTTATCACAGCTAAACATTTCTTATTGGCTGTGACCCACTTTCTATGTTCAAGGTCAAAAGACATCTTTACGGGAGCAAAGTCCCACTCTCTGTTCTGCCATGCAGCATCAGTCTCATCAATCTCCCTCACCAGTGCCACAGGTTCTTTGGGACACAGTGTGGTGACTACCCAGTCAACCTCAGCCAAGATGAGGGCCAAGTCGATCTTTTTCTTTCATTCAATGTAGTTATCCCCTTTGAGAGTTGGGATATCTTTGATATAAGCCATCAAGGAGTATCCTCCTGAAAACACAATTCAAATAGTGTGAGAACATAAATAATAACAATAACAATTGCATGTCTTAGTTTCAACGTGGTCAAAATTAAAACATACAATTATCCTCTACACTAATTCTACATCACCGTTGGCCAGAAATAGAATTAATGCATAATCATTAAAATTATAATATTGCTATTAACATCGTTGGTCAGAAAATAACAATATCATAATCAACTCATATTTTTCTTTTGGCTCTTAAAATCAAATTCTCCCGTTGGTTTGAATTTAATTAAAAGACCATAACAACTTTAGATACGCAGCGGAAACATTAATAAATCTCATAATTCTATTTTCCAGAAACTCTTAAAATACTATACTGTTCTCTGAACAAAATTATCGTTGGACAAAATTATACAGAGATTTACCTCAAATTTCAATTGAAATTCATCAAATATGAATCAAATTAGTTTCTGGAAAAAGAAAAACTGAATAAACTTATACTGTGCATTTGGCCTTGTTGCAAAGAAGACTGTGCCCCCAGCGCTAAAAGCCGTTCCAGCAGACCTTGTGCTTTTCCTTCTCCGCGCCAGCCGCAACTCAGGCTGGGCCGGAATCCTTTCCCTTTGGGCTCAAAGCGGCCCGATGCGCTGCTGGCCGTTGATCTCCAATCGACGGTCGTCCTCGCATTTCGGCCGAATGAAACACCCGCGACAGTCGCACCCCTCCAAACCCTAGTCCATTCTTTCCCACCCCTTCTCTCTCATCGCTAGTCAGAGCTTTCGGATAGACAGACCAGAATAAGCAGCCGTCCTCGGTGGCGAGGAGAAGAAGAAGGGCTCCGCCCAGCGCCTCTCGCCCGGCGTGCGTGTTTCGCCGCGAGGCCGAGCACGCCGCCGTCGAGGGGCCGCATGGTGCTACCCTGTTGCCGTGACCAAGCGTGCGAGGTGCCGGGCGGCTCGTTATTCTGTCCCGCAGCAAGGCTTACTCGAGCGACGCCATCTCTCCTTTCCAGCTGGTGGCGATGCTGCCGCGGTGGGTAAAGCCTGTAGGCTTCCTTTCTTTAGGGTTAGTCTTGGTTCTATTGGATCCGAATCGAATTCGAACTCCACTTTTTTCTTTTCATTCGTTTTTCTTTGCTTTTGATTCGAAAACCCTAGATCTACACCCTAGACCCATTTAACCGCTAGGGTTAGGGTTCTTTGTTGAAATCGTGTCCATTTTTCCCGTGCATCGATCTCGATCTAGGGTTAGGGTTCGATTTACTTTTCTTTCCCGATCCGGATCTACTTAACTAGACAAAGGCGATCGATACCATTGTTAGATCCCAAAGATCATCTAGAGTAGCATCTAGTCGGGTGATTCTTTTATTTGGGATGAACAAGTAGATAACCTAATGAACCGTACTACAGAGTGATAGAGAGAGGAGAGTGGATGGGAGTGTACAGACCATCAGAGGGTGCCGTCGAGGAGGATCCGACCATCTCGTTCACAGGTGGCGTTACAGCCGGGCAAATGATGGTCGGAGAAGAGTCGGTGAAGTCCGGCGACGCGGTGGGGTGCAGAGGCCGACGGTGATGACGGTGGCGTCTTCCCGTCGCTGGCTGCGCGCCCTTACTAGATCGGACTTAGGGTTTGTTAGTGGGGCAGATTGACTCACGGTGAACCTCGTACTATGAGCCGCCGGCCCCCATCACTTTATATAGCGCGGTGCGACGGAGGGCCACCAACCATGTAGGGTTGGGCGTCCCCGATCAGGGCGCGTGACCAAGGCCCAATAGGCCGTTGGGCTTATTGGCTGGGAGATCATTCCAACACCACCAAGTTAAGTAAGAACATAGACAGCCGGGGCCCTCAAACCAAAAAGGTCAGAAGGCAATCCGGGGGCCACTAGTCAGCTCCCAGCCTCGACAAAGTGAGAGGTCATCGAATAAACTCCAGAAATCAAATCCACCACCAAGATTCGGATTCGAAAAGAAGGTGAAAGGAGAGGACCCGGATCCACGCATACGGCTTCCGCTGTTCCGCGCGCTTTGAGCTCGGAGGAGGGCGGACCTTGGACGTCTCTGCCTCCCATTCAAAAGCTGCCCCTCCGCCAACAGCAGGGATGGGGAGCGAGCAACCGGCTCGCCTCGGAGCTGTTGCCAGGATTCCTGGAAGGCAGCGAAGCAACATCCGGGATCGTTTCATTTCGTGGCCAAGTCACAAGCTCTATATCTCAGTCGCTCAGAGCCTCTTCAGTTTTGTTGTGTTTGGCTACATTGTTGCGTTGCGTCTGTAGCATTCGCTGAAATTTGGCTTACGCTAAAATGTCGTGAGAGAAAAATACCCGTTAGTTTGCTAAAAAGTACTGTTGAAGTAGTGCAACAGAACAGTTGTGCGATTTTACGATAGTACAGAGGCCAATCTAGCTGGCTTTGCCTGCTTATCTTTTTGCATTGCGTCCTTTTTTTTGGCCCCTATGCGTCCATGATTCTTGCCAAAACAAACATCGCAAAGTGAATTTTTTTCCTGCTGTCCTTCAGTGCTGCTGGCTGAGAAAGTGAGAGGATCAAAGGGTTACTTTCCCTGCATCAATCCCCGACAACAAAATTCAAGGAGAGGAGGACCGACGATGGGGCGAGCGCGGCAGGAAGAAGAGGCGGAGTGGCGCTGGAAGCAGGGGAGGCGCGAGGGAGAGAGGCAGGGAAAAGCGAAGGGGGCTGGCTCTGCCTCGCTCGCCGGGATGTAGCATAAATTTTTCTTTTGGCTACTCCTCAGTGACTGACTCAATACCAGAAACCTTTTAAGAAGGAAGAACAAAATCCTGGAAGACTATTCTTGTGTCCTATGTACCACTAACTGTGAAGAGACAAGTTTCCATCTCTTTTTTGAATGTCCCTTTAGCTGGAGTTGTTTGAATTTTATCTCAAGTCAACTGTAACCTACATCTCCCTCCCTTGGACATGGTGATGGAAGGGTCGAAGTCGTTAGTTGTTCGGATGGTGTTTCCAAAGTTGGTCGGGATGAGTGGTGTACTCTCCCAGTTGGTGGTTTTTTGGGCCCGGTTTCCACTCAAAAAACTAGACTGAACACTTGTATTTTTATTTTCTCCGTCTAATAAAAATCGCGGCAAAGCTTTTGCCGTCCCTTCGAAAAAAACATGGTGATGGAAGCTAGAAATGATTTTGGCAGCTCCATCTTCAGAGAAGTTGTGGTAACAACGTGTTGGATCATCTGGACTACTAGAAATAGAGTAGTCTTTGATGGTTTAAACTTTACACTTAGCAGATGGATTGAGGATTTCAAGGAGCTTGGTCTGGTTTGTATCAAGGCCAAGCAAAGTGTAAAGCTATCTTTAGAACTGTGGTTAGAGAATATCCCCTAATGTCATCCGTGTTTTTCCTTTTGGGCTTTGTAAGTCTTGTAATTTGTACAGATATATAATGAAAAATTTAAGCAGGGGCCTCCCCTGCTGTTCACTCAAAAAAAAATGTTTATACATCACAGCAAACATGCAACACAGTCATGAAGACATGGACATCGTGTGTCCTTGAAAATTTAAGACACTGACTTTATCAAAAATCTAGAGCATGAATGAATATAATAATTTACAGTTGATCACCGGAGAACATATTCTACAGTGAATATGGCAGAGCAGAACATAGCAATGCATTTTAGAGTTAAAAAAAAGGAAAAACAAGCAAGGAAGTTAAATCTGCTTACAAAGAAAAACAAGCAAGGAAGACATATTTGTATAGCAGAGCATAACAGAGCAATTCATTTTGAGTTTATAAAGAAAAAACAAGCAAGAAAGTTAATACACTTACGCTACAATGGTCACTGATGCTCGGGTGCTTCATCATGAGGAGAAAATTATGTAAGGAGTCCTTCGAGCGTCAGGATCGCGGGGTCCTGAATGGTCTGGTTGGTTGCTTCGGTGCCCTCTCTGCCTTCGACCTCTTCTTTGATTGTCTGATGAAAGCTGCAATAAACACAAAGGATTGTAAACTTAAATTAGGTAGAACTTGTCGCATGAATTTTTTCTCAAGAGCATGAATGAATATAGTAATCTACAGTTGATCACCGGAGGACATATTCTACCGTGAATATGGCAGAGCAGAACAGAGCAATGCATTTTTTAAGTTTTCTTAAAAGAAGAAAAAACAAGCAAGGAAGTTTAATCTGCTTACGCAACACCAGTCACCGGTGCTTGGAGCGCTTGATGATGGGGAAACCCTGGAGGTAGAGGAGGAAACCCTGGAGGTGGTGTCTGAATCACGGGTTCCATGGTCGGGTAACTTGTAACCACGCGGTCGTGAAACGGTGCAAGTCTCCCTCAGCGCCGCGCGGATGATGGCGCCGCTCTGGTGCTGCGCGTGCGTGACCTTGAGCTGCCACTCGTCGTTGAGAGCCTTCACCTCTGCCGCGTGCTTGGCTTGGGCCACGCGAAAATCCTCCGCCAACTGGCTGGACTAGTTTTCTCCGTCTCAAGCTCCTCCATCAATCGGCGCACCGTCGCCTCGGACTTGGCTTTCTCTGCCTCGACCTTCTCTGAGATTTTGGCGACTTGGGCCATGTGCTCGGCTTTGGCCGCCCCAAGTTCCTTGTTGAGCTGGGCAAAGAATTTTTGCGACTTGGGCCGTGTGCTCGGCTTTGGCCGCCCCAAGTTCCTTGTTGAGCTGGGCAACATCTGCTGCACGCTTGGATTACTCCTCCCGTAGTTCGTCCTTGACTCTCTGGAGATCCTCCTCGGTCCTCCGCATCACCTCGAATGCCCCCGCCATGGTATCCATGAACGTCTGCGATGCAGAGTGCTCACGCTCGCGGTCGTGGCTGTCGGCACGAACCGGTGCCAGCTCCAGCGCAGGGAGAACTGGTAATTTGTCGCAGTTGGAGAGCACGAACTGCAAACTCTTGCCTCTGTGGGTGTTGTGGGTGTCCAGCTTCTTGATGGCCTCCTTTGCAGCCTCGTCGAGCACCGGAGCCTTGTGTCTGTCTTCGCTGGTTCTGCCGAGCGCGACTCGAGGAAGAAATAGAAATTCTTCCACCCATCGTAGGAGCGAGAGCCATTATTCTCGCCACCGAAAAGCTGGCGGCTCATTGTTGAGTATGAGTATGGCGCGAAACAGTTGTACCCGCCATCGCATACAAGGACGAAGCCGGCCAGGTACCGCCACGCGTTCAGGGGTGAGCTGGCTGGGCGCCATGCGGTAGTGCCGAAGAATCTTTGTGGAGAAGTCATGCATCGGGAAGCGCACTCCAACCTGTAGCATGATATACAGACTGTACGGTTAGCTGGTTCTTGTTGCCGTAAGGAAGAACTGCTGACGTACGATCATATACGATCGTTTTCCTTGAGCCGAACAGCCTGATAGTAGACGCAGATGGAGCCCCCCGCCTGGAGCCCTCCGGCGGCGTCTTGTAGGCCCAGCCGTCTTCGGGCCAAAACGCCCTGTACTTCTCCTCGCTGATTCCGTAATTGCGGCACATGTTTAGGAGGATCTCGGCAATCGAGCGAAGACTTCATCTGCTCCACCTCCGCCGACCAGTGATGGGCGTCCGCACCTGTGACGCGGCGTGATGCTGAGGCATCGTTAGGTTCGGTGGTGGTGGGTCGACCACCCTCACATCCTACTCCTCCTCTTCCGACGACGGCGAGCCGTGTGATGTTGGAGCAGAGTCAGGCGCGGTGCCTGTGACTGGTGCTGTGGACAATGGACAGTGAAGTGGTGGTGGCGGCGGCCGCGTTCTCTAGTCTTGTCTCTTTAGCAGAGGAGGAGAGAGAGAGAGCCGAGCTGAAAGTCTGAAACAAAATGCTACTCAACGCGTTGATTAGTGTGTCTGAGAATTCTTTTTTATTTCTTGTGTTTGGTTTGCCATGCCGGATCATGGCAAATGCGATGGGCGCCCGGACATGTCAGGTGTCGTCCAATGTACAGATGTGCGGTTAGGATGAAAATAGGTGCAGTACAGCCTATATTGGTAGGAATGTCAGGTTGTCAGATCACTGTAGCGTCGTTGACTGAAGGGACCTTGGTCTATGGTAATGGTAACGCAGTCCGTCCTCTCCCTAGGCGGCCAGGTAATGCAAACAGTACAAGTCACGGGCGACACAAGGTGCCCAGTGTCTCCGAGACGGCCGGAGGCGGACCGGCGCCGCGCCCCGGCGGCGTTCCGGCGGTGGCGGCGTCGAAGCCGGTGGAGGCCGCAGGAGCGCTGGAGGCAGGTGCGTGCGGCTCGGCGGCGCCGGAGGGGCTAGAGCAGTGGATAGGGCAGGTGGGTGGAAGCAGGCGTAGCGGGGCGTGGGCGCGGGCGTGGCAGGCATCCGGCGGCTGCACGCAGGATCGGCCGGGCAGGCGAGAGGGACTGTGGATGAGCAGTGGTCTGAGGGACGCGCGTTACTAGCTTCCATGAGGGCCGCCGCCGGAGATCTCTGCCTGCCACGAACCGGGGGAAGGTGTGTAAGCAGCTCCTCTTCTCTTTCTTCCTCCGCTTGCTGGGGTTCTGGAATAAATCGATGCGGCCTTGGCACCAGACGCTTCCCTATGTACTGTACTTGCGTTCTTCGTGATCTGGTATTACACGCCGCTCCAATCGCCCTAGCAACTTTGACGCTCTTCTTTCCTTCTCTAATAACCTGCAAAAGTTCGACCATGTTGTTCAGTTCTTGTTGCTGGTTCAGCTAGTCGGGACCAAATCCATTCGTTTGTTCGTTCTATTATCTCGAGTCACGAAGTGGGGAAAACTACGGGCTGTTGGAAATTGGGGAACTGTGAGTTTGGTGGAGATTAGAGTCGTGATTGGCTAATTCTAAAGGATTCCAGATCTGTTGCTTTAATTTGGAATTATGAAATGGGCAATGATAAATTTGCGCAAGCTACTGTTCTTTATTTGTTGGGTGGAAGCAGGCTAGCAGAGAATGAATGGTGCAAGATTTTTGTTTCTGCATACACTGCTGTTCTGCATTTTTGCCATGGCACTGATTTACTAGTTCTTTCAACTCCCGGCAAAGAATCTCCTGTCAATAGGTCGTTGAGGTCGTTGAGTTAGGAATTATGAAATGATGAAGCATCAATTGGGTTTCCACAGAACCTGTCAAATGAATGTTTTGATTTTGGATTGGGACATGTTTCACATTTGAGCCTTGAAAGGCTAGGGTCTTGTTTAGATTGGGGTTAGGAATCAGTATTTGTCACTGTAGTATTTTCGTTTGTCTTTGATAATTATTGTTCAATTATGGCCTAACTAGGCTCAAAAGATTTGTCTCGTAATTTACAATCAAACTGTGTAATTGGTTATTTTTTTATCTACATTTAATACTCCATGTATGTGTCCAAAGATTTGATGTGATGGAGAGAGAGAGTGAAAAAACTTGCAATCTAAATAAGGCCTAAGGCATAGAAGTAGGGTAATGCATCACATCATTCTGCATCATCTGCCTTTCACATAAGTTCTTCACTGTATTCTATTTCGTTGACCATTCTTGTAACGTTCATGAGGACTGAAGGTTAATGCATACAAGAAAACCTTAAAAAAAAAAATCTTGCATATGCTTGAGCAAATAGCATGAACAACGCTACTTTTGTTAAAGCACGCTGCTCCTTGAATACAAAAAATATCTACTTCCATCTGATCCTACTAGGCATCAATACCTACTTACTTTACTTTGCTCTTGTAGTAGGAATACAATAACATCAAGCTGCCGCACCAAAACTCGTGCTCAGTGTTCATTGAGAGATTAAAGAGTAAAATAGTGCATAAGAAACAAGCTCAAAACTTACGTGACCAAAAAGAAACCCACTAAATAGCATCCAACCAAATTCAACAATGAAGAAATACCCCAGAAATAGTGAGGATGAAGATCAAACAAGCCCAAGCGAACAAGACCTAATATTTTGTATGTTGAGCTGTTAGTTTGAGTGGGATAGCTGGATTGCAGCCATACCTACACGTTGCCACATCAATTGTGTGGGTGCAGAATTCAGGGTTGTATTCCATAAGGTAGTATAGTTCGGTAGAAATGCTAGGATGCATGAAAATAGAGCCTAGAGGTGAAATTTCATTATTATTGTCATTCATAGATTCACACTATATGGCACTGCATGATACACCCTTGACACAAGTCACCATTAAGTAAGAGTTTGTAGTCTTTTTGTCTACCTGTTTGAGTGTTAAATTAGTCTGAAAAATAACAAATTAACATGTAAAGTGACCTCAACATCATCTGCATACTAGTAATTTGACTGAATGGAAGAAAATGTGGAACAATAGCAGTCTTATCCGAGTGACCAAACGAAATCCTCCCAGTGACATGGCCATACTCTGCAGCCTTGACAGTTAATTCCGTGAACTGAGCTTGCATACCATCACTGATAGATGCCCTAGCAGATATACTATAGATCATAGTGGCCCTGTTTGGCTGGCCGTAAAAACAGCTAATGCTGATAATGATTTGTTATGAAAGAAAAATACTGTTATTTCGTTGAAACGGTACGGCTGATAAGTTCAAGCGAATTGGACTGAATGAAAGAGAAAGCAAGGAACAATAGCAGTCTTATCTGAGTGGCCGGGAAAAAAAATCTTCCCAGCGACATGGCCAAGCTCTGTAGACTGTAGCCTTGGTGAGGTGGCATCCGATGGATTTGCGAGGCGGCATGACATTGGTGTGCCGGTCAATACTGAAAGTTAGTCGGCATTGTTTGTTATCTTTGGGCTCAAATGGATCGCATTTATGATATTTCCTACTCATGATACAGTAGATGTCAGAATGAAATTCCAGAAGATAGTCACTGGATATGGTGCAGATGATCATAAGGAGACCTCGGGCACCGGTGATATGCAAAAATCTTGTTTTAACATTGCTAGCTACCGCTCCCGATGAAGGTTTGATTATGCAAGAGATTATATTTTTAGTTTGAGTCTGTCTACTGTACAACCATGTGTTTTATGTAATTCCAACACATGATTTTTTTTTGCACCATAAGATTAAGATCCAACAGCTTTCACCCTTCTTCTACCTCTAGCCTTTTTCTACCTTCAGACAATCACAAGATCATAGATCACAGATCATAGATCATATATCACATAAAACATTTTTTTTCTATAGAAGGACAAATTACACAGCGGTGGGTTCCATCCCGTTCGTAATGGGTTGTCGCACCGTGGGGCCCCTGGACAGTCCACTTGGTGCTGCCGCTAAGGACACCTGCCCACACGACAGGTCGTGGCGCAGAAGTCGCTCAGGACACCTGCCCACACGATAGTCGAGGCGCAGAAAGCGAAAGCGTGCTGCTGGTGCTGCGGCCGCGTGCGCTCGCCGTGTGTTTCTTTGTGCAAAAAAATTCATGTGTTTTTTCGTGCTAAAACACGTGTTATTACATCGTCGTTAATGGAAAATCCAGAGTTGAAGGCAGTAGATTATAAAATTAACAATCCCTTCCTTTCGAATCCTGAGCCAAGCTCGGTCACCTCATTGGGCCACGTCGCTCGTTTTTTTGGTCCTCCGTCCCATGTTGATCGAACGTTGAGCGTGAGCACAGCAGATTGCGTCCCCTCCGCTGCCGTCGACTTCTCCAGCTCGACCGCCCCCGGCGTCAGCGGATGAGCTCCCTCTGCCTGCCCTTCGTCTGCCCCTCCGCCTACACCACTGCCCGCGCCTCGGACCACCTGCACGGGCGGCGTCCTATAGGAGCTGTAGAACCAGGGCTTCTGTGCCTTCTACCAGGGTTCCTGTAGCTCCTATCGCTCGCGTCAAAAGCCATCGGCACTGCTTTGCGCTCGACGCAGATGCTGAACGACGCCCCAGGCACCTGCCGCTACCGCCACGGGCCTTTCGTCAACCGAAGCCAGGGTGGCCATCGCCGCTTCCCTCCTCGCAGCCGCAGCCGCGACCGTGAACAGGAGCGTGCAGACCTCTCCAGCGCAGCCTCCGATCTCCCCGCACCAGCGACAGCCAAGCCGAAGGGGATGGCGGCCACGACATTCTGGCCACCTACAACGACCTTCGCCCCATCGCCAGCACCGCAGCACCCACCACCGACCAGACGCTGGACTTGACGTCGGCATGGATAGCGTACAGGAGGTGTTCGAAGGAACGCCCATGAGGTAAACAACGCGTGCTTGCTAGCTTATCTGTTTCATTTCATACATGCATGCTGTACGCTCGTAGTGTGGCCAAGCTCAAAACGATTGATGGTATGTATTCTACATACGGTGACAGTGACCCGATGCAGACTTCACGGAGCAGATGTGCAGATTTGGCCTGGCAGCGAGCAAATGTTGCTGTGCTGCTGCTCAATAAGAAATAAGATTTTGCAGCAAAAGCCCGTTGTCTTCAGCATTAAGCTTCTGGTTTGCTCCTTTGATTAGTCGATTCCATCTGTATCCTTGTATTGTTTCAAACATTTCCTAAATCTAATGTCCTGCTTTTGCACTTCCCATCTGCCTGCATTAGCTACATAGCATTTAACATTTCTAGCTTTCATCAAGGG